CCACCGGCCGCCTCCCCGATCTCCCCTGGCCAGCCCCGCTGCCCCCGATTCCCCCGCAGCTCTGCTTCCTGCCAGCCGCCACGCCCCCGATATCTCCCGGTCAGCCCCCCCGACCAGCCCTGCTTCCTAAACCCTTCCTTCCTCCCGGCTAGCCCCACTCCTCTCCGTGTGTCTGTGTCCGCACGGGTGTCTGTGTCCATGTGCGTGTGTCCGTGTGCGCGTGTGTCTGTGTCCGCACGGGTGATTGTGTCTGTGCGTGTGTGTCTGTGTCCGCACAGGTGTCTGTGTCTGTGCGCGTGTGTGTGCAGCATGGCATGTGTCTGTGTCCGCGTGCGTGTGTCCATGCGTATGTGTCTGTGTCCACCTGTGTGTCCATGTGCACGTCTGTGTCCACACACATCTGTGCGTCTGTATGCGCATGTGTCCGTGCGCGTGTCCGGGCCCATCCGTGTGCAGTGCGGGGAAGCGGGCAGCCTTGCCCTGCCTGGCGGCTAACCCACCTTTAATTACAAACAGGTGCTTCAGGGTCTCGGGGTAGTTCTCCTCAAACATGGACAGGAGCTGTGGAGTCAGAGCGTCAGTGGGGCCGGGGCCGGGACCTCGCTCCCCCACGCCCTGGGAGAGGGCCCCCCGGCCGAGTGCCGTGCGAGGGCCGGCCGTGAGAGCCCAGGCAGGCAATGCAAACAGCAGCGCTGCCCGTCTGGACTCTCGGGGAACCCCCAAGCTCAGCTCCACGCCAGGGCGTTAAAGCACAAGCACCCTCGGCCGTCACAGGCCTGCGCATGACGCCGTCCGGTCCCAGCGGGGCTCAAGACAGGGCCCTGGGCCGGAGCGAGACCTGGGCTTGTTCGGGCTGTGGGGAGCAGAGCCGGGGGCACTGAGAGCCTGCAGCTCCCGGAAGGGGGTTCCAGAGAGGCTGTTCTCGGGGCGCCGGGGGGCAGAGCCGGGGGCACTGAGAGCCTGCAGCTCCCGGAAGGGGGTTCCAGAGAGGCTGTTCTCGGGGCGCCGGGGGGCAGAGCCGGGGGCACTGAGAGCCTGCAGCTCCCGGAAGGGGGTTCCAGAGAGGCTGTTCTCGGGGCGCCGGGGGGCAGAGCCGGGGGCACTGAGAGCCTGCAGCTCCCGGAAGGGGGTTCCAGAGAGGCTGTTCTCGGGGCGCCGGGGGGCAGAGCCGGGGGCACTGAGAGCCTGCAGCTCCCGGAAGGGGGTTCCAGAGAGGCTGTTCTCGGGGCGCCGGGGGGCAGAGCCGGGGGCACTGAGAGCCTGCAGCTCCCGGAAGGGGGTTCCAGAGAGGCTGTTCTCGGGGCGCCGGGGGGCAGAGCCGGGGGCACTGAGAGCCTGCAGCTCCCGGAAGGGGGTTCCAGAGAGGCTGTTCTCGGGGCGCCGGGGGGCAGAGCCGGGGGCACTGAGAGCCTGCAGCTCCCGGAAGGGGGTTCCAGAGAGGCTGTTCTCGGGGCGCCGGGGGGCAGAGCCGGGGGCACTGAGAGCCTGCAGCTCCCGGAAGGGGGTTCCAGAGAGGCTGTTCTCGGGGCGCCGGGGGGCAGAGCCGGGGGCACTGAGAGCCTGCAGCTCCCGGAAGGGGGTTCCAGAGAGGCTGTTCTCGGGGCGCCGGGGGGCAGAGCCGGGGGCACTGAGAGCCTGCAGCTCCCGGAAGGGGGTTCCAGAGAGGCTGTTCTCGGGGCGCCGGGGGGCAGAGCCGGGGGCACTGAGAGCCTGCAGCTCCCGGAAGGGGGTTCCAGAGAGGCTGTTCTCGGGGCGCCGGGGGGCAGAGCCGGGGGCACTGAGAGCCTGCAGCTCCCGGAAGGGGGTTCCAGAGAGGCTGTTCTCGGGGCGCCGGGGGGCAGAGCCGGGGGCACTGAGAGCCTGCAGCTCCCGGAAGGGGGTTCCAGAGAGGCTGTTCTCGGGGCGCCGGGGGGCAGAGCCGGGGGCACTGAGAGCCTGCAGCTCCCGGAAGGGGGTTCCAGAGAGGCTGTTCTCGGGGCGCCGGGGGGCAGAGCCGGGGGCACTGAGAGCCTGCAGCTCCCGGAAGGGGGTTCCAGAGAGGCTGTTCTCGGGGCGCCGGGGGGCAGAGCCGGGGGCACTGAGAGCCTGCAGCTCCCGGAAGGGGGTTCCAGAGAGGCTGTTCTCGGGGCGCCGGGGGGCAGAGCCGGGGGCACTGAGAGCCTGCAGCTCCCGGAAGGGGGTTCCAGAGAGGCTGTTCTCGGGGCGCCGGGGGGCAGAGCCGGGGGCACTGAGAGCCTGCAGCTCCCGGAAGGGGGTTCCAGAGAGGCTGTTCTCGGGGCGCCGGGGGGCAGAGCCGGGGGCACTGAGAGCCTGCAGCTCCCGGAAGGGGGTTCCAGAGAGGCTGTTCTCGGGGCGCCGGGGGGCAGAGCCGGGGGCACTGAGAGCCTGCAGCTCCCGGAAGGGGGTTCCAGAGAGGCTGTTCTCGGGGCGCCGGGGGGCAGAGCCGGGGGCACTGAGAGCCTGCAGCTCCCGGAAGGGGGTTCCAGAGAGGCTGTTCTCGGGGCGCCGGGGGGCAGAGCCGGGGGCACTGAGAGCCTGCAGCTCCCGGAAGGGGGTTCCAGAGAGGCTGTTCTCGGGGCGCCGGGGGGCAGAGCCGGGGGCACTGAGAGCCTGCAGCTCCCGGAAGGGGGTTCCAGAGAGGCTGTTCTCGGGGCGCCGGGGGGCAGAGCCGGGGGCACTGAGAGCCTGCAGCTCCCGGAAGGGGGTTCCAGAGAGGCTGTTCTCGGGGCGCCGGGGGGCAGAGCCGGGGGCACTGAGAGCCTGCAGCTCCCGGAAGGGGGTTCCAGAGAGGCTGTTCTCGGGGCGCCGGGGGGCAGAGCCGGGGGCACTGAGAGCCTGCAGCTCCCGGAAGGGGGTTCCAGAGAGGCTGTTCTCGGGGCGCCGGGGGGCAGAGCCGGGGGCACTGAGAGCCTGCAGCTCCCGGAAGGGGGTTCCAGAGAGGCTGTTCTCGGGGCGCCGGGGGGCAGAGCCGGGGGCACTGAGAGCCTGCAGCTCCCGGAAGGGGGTTCCAGAGAGGCTGTTCTCGGGGCGCCGGGGGGCAGAGCCGGGGGCACTGAGAGCCTGCAGCTCCCGGAAGGGGGTTCCAGAGAGGCTGTTCTCGGGGCGCCGGGGGGCAGAGCCGGGGGCACTGAGAGCCTGCAGCTCCCGGAAGGGGGTTCCAGAGAGGCTGTTCTCGGGGCGCCGGGGGGCAGAGCCGGGGGCACTGAGAGCCTGCAGCTCCCGGAAGGGGGTTCCAGAGAGGCTGTTCTCGGGGCGCCGGGGGGCAGAGCCGGGGGCACTGAGAGCCTGCAGCTCCCGGAAGGGGGTTCCAGAGAGGCTGTTCTCGGGGCGCCGGGGGGCAGAGCCGGGGGCACTGAGAGCCTGCAGCTCCCGGAAGGGGGTTCCAGAGAGGCTGTTCTCGGGGCGCCGGGGGGCAGAGCCGGGGGCACTGAGAGCCTGCAGCTCCCGGAAGGGGGTTCCAGAGAGGCTGTTCTCGGGGCGCCGGGGGGCAGAGCCGGGGGCACTGAGAGCCTGCAGCTCCCGGAAGGGGGTTCCAGAGAGGCTGTTCTCGGGGCGCCGGGGGGCAGAGCCGGGGGCACTGAGAGCCTGCAGCTCCCGGAAGGGGGTTCCAGAGAGGCTGTTCTCGGGGCGCCGGGGGGCAGAGCCGGGGGCACTGAGAGCCTGCAGCTCCCGGAAGGGGGTTCCAGAGAGGCTGTTCTCGGGGCGCCGGGGGGCAGAGCCGGGGGCACTGAGAGCCTGCAGCTCCCGGAAGGGGGTTCCAGAGAGGCTGTTCTCGGGGCGCCGGGGGGCAGAGCCGGGGGCACTGAGAGCCTGCAGCTCCCGGAAGGGGGTTCCAGAGAGGCTGTTCTCGGGGCGCCGGGGGGCAGAGCCGGGGGCACTGAGAGCCTGCAGCTCCCGGAAGGGGGTTCCAGAGAGGCTGTTCTCGGGGCGCCGGGGGGCAGAGCCGGGGGCACTGAGAGCCTGCAGCTCCCGGAAGGGGGTTCCAGAGAGGCTGTTCTCGGGGCGCCGGGGGGCAGAGCCGGGGGCACTGAGAGCCTGCAGCTCCCGGAAGGGGGTTCCAGAGAGGCTGTTCTCGGGGCGCCGGGGGGCAGAGCCGGGGGCACTGAGAGCCTGCAGCTCCCGGAAGGGGGTTCCAGAGAGGCTGTTCTCGGGGCGCCGGGGGGCAGAGCCGGGGGCACTGAGAGCCTGCAGCTCCCGGAAGGGGGTTCCAGAGAGGCTGTTCTCGGGGCGCCGGGGGGCAGAGCCGGGGGCACTGAGAGCCTGCAGCTCCCGGAAGGGGGTTCCAGAGAGGCTGTTCTCGGGGCGCCGGGGGGCAGAGCCGGGGGCACTGAGAGCCTGCAGCTCCCGGAAGGGGGTTCCAGAGAGGCTGTTCTCGGGGCGCCGGGGGGCAGAGCCGGGGGCACTGAGAGCCTGCAGCTCCCGGAAGGGGGTTGGGCTGCCACTGGACGATGTTGTCAGCATCCATGTGCTTCCGGATCTCCACGTACTGTCAACGCAAAGCAGAGGGGAGTGGCCGCGACGGGAATTCCACCGTGCTCTGAACGCTGCGGAGCAACCGCAGCCGGGGGGGGGGGGGGGACGGACCC